AACAACAAAGTCGCTGGAGCTGACGACCTGCCAACTGATCTAAGTTGTTGAGTCTAAAATTAGTAACGCCTGGCTCTGCAAAATAGTGTTGAGCAACACTACCAGCACCGCCAGAATTGGGAAGGGCCTCTGCCAGCCAATCAATGCCAAAGACAGGACTTTACATCGTGTGACTGATTTAATGTGATGCTGAAAATGATAATAAAGAAACTGCAAACTGAATCGCTCAAGCGCAATATATATGAGTGCGTGATAGCAACTGGAGAACTCGAGGTAAAGGACAAATAAATAAATTAAATATGAGTCTGGGACTAATTGATATCCAATAATACCCGTATGCGAATAGTTGCGGTTAAATAATGCCCAATTGTACCCGATTGAGAGTAATCTCGGAATACTCTCTTTAGAGATTAGTCGCACAATTTTTTGTAGGGTTATTTACCCTGATTTATTCTGAGTCCGCTGGGCAGTCGTAAAGGAGATATTTCGGTTTACGTTGTCGTATTTATGATAAGACAAGAAAATGACAGAGAAAGCGCTCGATGCTAGTTACCTCCTCCTCGTTCCTGCAACTGCGGTAGAAGTCATTGGAGGGGAAGCATTTACGCTCTTCTTGTATTTGCAGTGTCCATTAATAAAACCAATCTCTAAGCTAATGTAGAGATGATCAAGGAGAACTAGAGGCTAATATCTGTATCCATTAACTCGTGGCCCATTTGTGATTATCTTGTTCAATAAAAACAGATCTAAGCCATAGTTCGTAGTTTTCTTTTCGGTAATTGGAGCAAACCTGATCGATTACAGATTGCTTCCCTTCCATGCCAGCTGGTTCGCAATTACCTCGCATTCCCATCCTAACCACTCGATTCAAACGTGTGTATTTCCGATTGTTATCAGCACTGTACAATCCCTAAAAGCTTACACTGAAAATAAAATTTCCTAAAAGTGCTAGGAAAAACTTTCGTAGTCTTGATTTTTGTACAATGTACAAAACTTTCGTTCATAGTACGAACACAGTTTTCACAACGAAACAAGATTTTACGAACCATACGTAAATATAACGAAAGGACTTTCGTAAGTCATTTTTTCAGTACAATTTACGAAATCTTACGTTTATATTACGAAACACATTCGTAAAGCACTGAACAAATCTCTGTACGAATAATTTTGTATATTGTAGGAAGGCATTCGTAATATTTACGTATGGTTTTAAAATTTACGAAATCTACATCTTACGAAAGTATTAACTAAACTGTACGAATACAATTTAGTTAATACTTTCGTATAAAGTACTAATGCAGAAACATGTTTTTTTTAATTCGTTCAACATACGAATATTTTCGTACAATATACTCAATTATCGGCAGTTTAATATTTCATCATATTTTTATGTATCGCGTGTCATTGCGGAATTACTTGTTGGCTGCTGTGAGACGTATAATATAATTTTAAACGTTTTAAAAAGGGATTTGCTGGATAAGAAAACAAAACAAAATTAAATATTAAAGCTGTGGATATACTATGCTTTATAAGCATACAATGTTTTTAACATCGCCTACGCTGCGCCTTGCGCTGCAATGTGGGACTTTATATATAGGCAATTTCATCAGTTACCTATCAACGGCAAGAATAAGCCAGGAGCACTATTTAATGAAATTAAAAGTAAGTACATGTATGAAACTTGCTTTTCAGACGCCTTATAATTTTCCTTTAATTTATAGTCGTCAAGGAAACAAACATCGATGAAGCTGCGAATCTGTCAAGTGCCTCTACATAAAAATATTATAATGTTTAAGAAAGTAAAACCAGTATTTTTTATGTTCTTTCTTTCTAATTTTATATCCTATTATATTTAGTTTTGTTGAGTCTCATAGTTTAACACCTTGCATCAATATACTTTATTGAATGAAACCTAAGCAATAAAAAATATGTAGTATAGAACCTATTCGTATGTATATAAATAAAAGACTTAAGTTTTATTATAGGTAAAATAACCTTTTTTATTACTTCTAAGCTACAGTGTAGTCAGAAAATTCTTCTTCTTTTTTCGTATTAACACTTATTAACACTATAAAAAACATGACTAAAATTATAGCACAACACTTTCATTATATTTTAGTCATTAATGTTAAGCGTTTTTGCAAAACGTTTTGTTAAACAAAAACGCTTAAAATTAACGATAAAAACAAAATAAAAGTGTTGTGTTATAATTCGTAATATGTTTTTTACAGTGTGGAGAATGAAAGCAAAATCGCACATTCTACGAAAGAAGCGCAGATTTTACGAAAATAATTTCGTTAAATATACGTATTATTTCAGAGCATTTTACAAAAATTTCGCTAAAAACTAAGAAATAGCACAAAATTCTTTAGTAAATATTACTAAATTCTTTAGTAAATAGTACTAAATTCTTTAGTAAATAGTACAAATACATACATTCGTAAAATGTACTAAAGATCTGATGCCTCATATTTTCGTAGTATGTACGAAAACTGTTTTGTACAATCAACGAAAACATTCGTGGCTCAAAGTGACGAAAAATTTCGTAAGATTTACGCAAGTTTTCGTTATATTTACGCAGATTTTATTTTCAGTATAAAGTTTAGATATTCACATACGCATAGTAAAACCCTCTTATCATTATTGTCATTTCAATGACCTCACACCAATAGCTAACTTCAAGTGCTTTTCGCAGAATGATTAAATCAGAAATAAGAACAAAGTTCTTATCAGTTTCACACCTAAGTATACCGCAAAAATGACATATAGCTCATTTGGTGCAAGAGTGTCATTATCCAAAAATAAGAAACTCGAGAAAAATGGCTTTCAAGTTTGCATGGATACGGGGGTGCACCAAAATTGTATCGATACTTTGACAAATAAATTCTTACAGCAGACATAAGGGCATTGAAAGAATTTTAGAAATATTATTGATCATGATCGGCAGGTCAACTGTTATTAACACAAATAATCCGAAGCTGTCTAAAGAAAAAAACTTAGGACACTGTCGTTCACTTTTTGGATTGAACTCGCTACCCATCGTTCGGAGAAGCCACGTAGTAGTTTACTGGCGTACGAAAGCTAAAACATTGACAGTAGTCATCTATGTAGGAACACTGTCATTTATAAATACATATGTACATATGCAAGTGCATTCATATGGAGGCATATATGTACATACAAACATTTGGCATTAGAAACGTATGATTCATTCTTATCTCGAGTACCTTGTCTTATCGGTGTTAATAGAAGTATAAAAATACCATTTAAACTTCAGCTGCATTCCATAAATGCATTGCAAATTTTAGTGCAGTCTTAGAAGCGAGTAAGAACGGTGTATGCGGATAAAAAATATACATATAAAACTAAAAAAAAATTTTTGGAATCGAAAGTAATCTCTCAAAAGCTGCGGACTTTTTATAGAACAAATTTGTGACGATTCGAGTACAACTTCATTTCGATTGAATATTCAGCCATGCAATGGGCTCTTCCTGTTCGAGGGATAAAGAAATCGCAACTATTCCAACTGTACAAAATGTTTCGGCCAACGTAGGTGTAAAGTACACATACAACGACAGCAACAGCTGTTTATTGGCTGTGCAATTTGAACCGGAGGTATGCAATTAAGTACGTTCGAGAGAAATTCTAGAAATTCCAAAAGACTAAGACTATAAGTCACGTAAAGTCTCGAAAAAAACTAAGAAAAGTCCTAAAAAAAAGTCAATAGAAATATATAAGTCCAAAAATTTTCGAAAAGAATCCAGAAAGTTCCCGAGCAAATCAGAAAAAATTTAAAAAAGTCGTCACAAGTCCCGGAAACTTCACAAGGTAATCTTAAAAAATCTCGATAAAACTATAGAGCTCCAAACAAATTTCGGCAACAAAAAAAAAATGCCGAGAGGCCCAAAAATTCAACTAATCCCATATGTATTTGAATTTCGCAGGAAAATAAGGAAAATTACTAAAAATCCCGAAGAGTTCCGAAAAAATAGAGGAAAATACGAAAAACCTTAAATTTCAGAACGATTACGAAAACGCCAAAGGTGTCTAAAAACTCGAAATACCCAAACAGTTTCAAAAACCCCCAATAGTCCTGAACAGTCCCGAAAAATATAGAATAATTCTGAAAACTCGATATACAAACTCCAGAAGTCTAAACATTTACACAAAATTTTCGAAAAGGTCCAAAAATATTCCAGGAAAACACCGAAAACTACTCAAAATTCCCGATAAAATTTGGTTAACCCTTGGAATACAAAAAATATTTTGAATAGTGATGAAAGAAATATCGAAAGGCCCCGAAATAAGGTTCCCTATAAAATCTCTAGAAGTCTCGAAAATTTTGGAGAACATATAAAAACTGTCTAATGATCTAAATTGTCCCGCAGAATCCCAAGCAAATATCGAAAACTCACAAAAATTGTTAAAAATATAGAAAGCTCCGAAAACTTACAAAAAAGTTCAAGCAATTAGTAAAAATCACGTTACGTTTTCGAAAAATCTTGGTATGCTAGAATTGTTTCGAAAAGTCACAAAAAATACCGAGAGGTGTCGAAAATTATGCGAAACATCCCAACAAGTACCAAAAAATTCCGATAAGAGTTAAAGCTCCAAGAAAATTCTGAGAATGCGCAGAAATTCTCGAGCAAAACAGTAATTTTTTCGAAATAACGAGAGAATCCTAAAAGCTTCCCTAAGAGTGGAGAAAAATCCAGAAAAAATTCCTAGGCGATGAAAGTTCTATAGGGGGTTTTGGTATTTCTGAGAACATATCGAACTCGGCGTTCGCAGTTCTCTATAGGTTCTATTTCCAAACATGAATGTGGTATTCATGATCAGATCTAACGAAAATAGGATATTCTTCTGCGCCTATTTTCTAAATGCCACGACTACTATTTCAGTCTCGCCAAAAACTGCATTACCTAGCTTTTTTCTTTCCGAGATATTCTTATTGCGTTTATAGACCTCTATTTTCATATGTCAATTTTTCCTGCTTACAGAACTCCACAAAGGTCTTGAAGTACAACAGCGCCAAAGAATACTGGACCGTCTGCCATGAAATCCCAGTTAAAGGTCTCTTTCGTACAGTAATTGTGAAACAATATCTCTTATTCTACGATTGGAAGGATGGCGTGAGAATATGTTGTTACGATACAACAACACGCGCTATACGCACCTTGAAGCCGCTCAAAGCGGAACAGCCTTTTTGGCGTTGTTATTACGCTGTCGAATTTCAGGATCGCCTATATATGATAGGTGCAGACTCAGATGATAATCGTAAAGTATATGTGTAAGTTGGAAGCTGAAATGTATTTAACAAATATCTAAGTGCGCATATCTTAGTTGGAACCCCGAAACCGATAGTTTGACCGCTGCACCTAAGCTGATTACTGGTCGCACAAGAGCTGCAGCGCTGAAGCATGAAGGCTACTTGTATGTGGTTGGTGGTATGGTCACAAACAATGGCACCGATAGTGACACGAATGCGGTCGAGCGATATAATCCACGGCGGGATCGTTGGGAGCAGTGTGCACCGCTGTTACAGGCGCGGGGTGCGATAGCGGTGAGTTTTTTGGGTGAAGCAGAGGAAAACTACGTATAGGCCATAGGCTATTCGAATGCAAAAACAAAGCATTCGCTGTTTTCTCTTTATTAATACCTTTTTTCTTTTGCCTTGCAGTTAGCCTCCGCGGGCCAATATATTTACGCTCTTGGTGGTGACTGCAGTGAGGTGCCGACAAATATGGTAGAGCGCTACGATACGCACAACAACAAATGGACACAGGTTAGTTTGAATAAATAAAATAAAATAAAATTAAAATAAATTAAAATAAAATAAAATAAAATAAAATAAAATAAAATAAAATAAAATA